TTCAAAACTTTTTCATCAAGCTAGAGCACACTTCATAGATGATGCTTGTACCGTTCTGACTCACAGCGACCCCATGTACAACAGAACGAAATACGGTCTGGTCCTATACCATCCTCACAATTATTGTCATTATGTTTGAGCCCATTGTTGCTTAAACACTTAGATCAATCCATCTTGTTGGGGATCTTCCTGTTTTTCACTGACCCTCCATGTTACCAAACATAATATCCTTCTCCAGGGATTGGTACCTCCTGATAATATGTCCAAAGTATGAGAGATGAAATCTGGCCATCCTGGCTTCTAAGAAAGCATTCAGGGTGTGATTCCTCCAACACATATTTGTTTGTTGTTCCGGCAGTCCATGGTACTTTTAATATTCTTCTCAATTGCATCAATTATTCTATGGTCTTCCTTATTCCTTGTTTAACTTTCACATATATTTGAGGCTATTGAAAATACCCTGGCTTGGGCCAGGCGCACGTTAGTCCTCAAACTGACATCTTTGCTCTTGAACACTTTAAAGCGGTCTTGTGTAGCAGATTTGTCCAATGTTATTTGATTTCCTGACTGCTGCTTCCAAAAGTGTTGATGGTTGATCTGAGCAAAATGAAGTCTTTGACAACTTCAATCTTTTCTCTATTTATCCTGATGTTATTTATTGGTCCAGTGGTGAGGAGTTTTGTTTTCTTTACTCCTCTGTGTTGCCCTAACTTGCCAGGCTGTGTCCTGCCTCAGGGCTTTTGCACCAGCTGTGCCCTCCATCTGGAAGTCTCCTTCATTTCCCCCTTCTCCAGGCCGACTCCTCATTTTTCAAATCAGAGCTCTAACATCTTTTATCCATTCAACACTTACCGTGTATTGATGACAACTGCAAAAATCCCAAGGGGCAGTTCTACTTTGTCACATGGGGTTGCTATGAGTTGGAATTGGCTTAAGGCACACAAAATAACACTTGTCCAGTAGAGAAAGACAGAGGCAAGGGTTCCAAAAGAAAGAACAAAAGAACAGAGTGTCAAAAGGAAAAAAACTCAGTCAGGAGCCAGGGTGGGAAAAGAGGACTGGGCTGGGCCAGATTGGGGGCATGTTGGAGGCCCCAAAGGACACTGGATCTAGGCTGGTGTAGGGGTAGCAGACGGGCATACTGTGCTTCCACTCGCAAATCTCCTTCACATCAACACTCGCCAGAGAGGCGGGAAATATTTTCTCTCTGGCTGACACTTTTGGCAAAATACAATTCCTTCAGTTGTTTTTTTGTGTGTGTGCAAAAAACATGTCCATCAAAACCGTCCCTGCGGCGTCTGCAGGAGAAAGCGGCTACATTTGGTCTGGGGATTGTGGCTGGGGCTCCGGAGAGAGCTTCTCTCTGCAATGAGAACAAAAGTGAAATTGCTTCCTCCCTTGCATGTTTGGTGGGCACGGGCACCCTGCTACTCTGCACCTGCTCAGTACCATTAGTGTCCCATTTCTCAGATGTGGACATCGAGCCCAGAGAGGGGAAGACACTTCCCCAAGATTGCCCAGCAGAGCTGGGATTTGAACGCAGACCCTATTCAACCTGGCTATATTTTCATCTCATGTGCTTTGGACATATTATCAGGAGGGACTAGTCCATGGAGAATGACATCATGCTCAGCAAAAAAAGAGGAAGACCCCCAACGAGATGGGTGAACACAATGGTGTCACAATGGGCTCAAGCGTCGCAATGATCGTGAGCTTGGCAGGACCGGGCAGTGTTTGGTTCTGTTGTGCATAAGGTCACTATGAGTCAGAACTGATTTGACAACACCTAACAACAACAGAGAAACCTAGATGAGTCTTTATCCAGGAAGGTAGAGGAGCTGATCTAACTATCCCTAACCAGGGCTCCTCTGACACACAATTCAAACCAATTAACCTGATCCAAGGGATCAGCACATTGTTAGTGGAACAGCTTTGACTCATGGGGACCCCAGGTGACAGACTAGAACTGCCCATGAGGGTTTCCTCAGCTGTCATCTTTATGGGAGAAGATTGTCTGTCCTTTTTCCTGTAGAACCACTAGATGAGCCAAGCACCAACCATTGTGCCACCAGGGCACCTGGAGAGGGTGATGATGGTGGTGGTGTGCCTCTGAGTTGGTTCTGATGCATAGTGACCCTGTATGGGGTTTCTGAGACTAAATCTTTACCGGAACAGAAAGCCTCATCTTTCTTCCACAGAATGGCTGGTAGGTCCCAAGTGCTGTCTTTGTGGTTAGCAGGCCAGCATGTAATCCACACACTACTGGGACTCCTTGGATTAGAATACAGAAGGGTTTTAAGAAGATTCTGTGGTTGGAGCACATGGTTGAGCATTTGACTACTAGCCGAAAAGATTGATGGTTCGAACCCACTCAGAGGCACCTTGGGAGAAAGGCCTGCTGTTCATGGCACCTCACAACAACCCAACAGACCCAGTGAAGGGCTGCAGTCCCGAGTTACTGGAGACTGGAAGGAGTGATGGGAACAGGTGTCCCCCAGCTGGCCGCCTGCATCCTCACCATCCAGTCCCCACAGACCCTTCATTCAGCCAGGAGCAAGTGTGACAGCCAGACCTACTGCCATCCAGTGGACTGTGACTCACAGCCACCCTGGAGGACAGAGGAGAACTGCCCATAGGGTGTCCAAGGCTGTCAGTCTTTATGGGAGCAGACTGCCTCATCTTTCTCCCGAGGTGGATTTGAACCGCTGACCTTTCAGTTAGCAGGTCAACACTAAATCCACTAAACTACTAGGGCTCCTTGAAAATAAGAATCAAGTTCGTGAAATAAGCTCACCAAGGCTCCCCAGAGGAACCCCTAGCCACCATGTTCTTAGGGTCAAGAAAGAGCCAAGAGCATTCACCAGATGTGAATTTCAACCCAAACTCCACCCCTCACTACCTGAGTTACAGCTGCCCTGAGACCTCTTTGAGCATCCCAGGGCGGCAGGAAAGATATCCAGTAAAGTAAAGGTGGCAGCAAACAGTAGTTAATCTATGGTCCAGACATCCCAGGTTCAAATCTCAGCTTTGTAAATTTCTTCCTGTGCAACCCCCCTATATCTCAATATGAGGGAATGGTGGCTCAATGGCTCAATTCTCACCTCCCTTGTGGGGAACCTGGGTTTGTTTCCTGGCCCCTATTCTCCTCTCATCTGTGGATACTTTCTTGTTGTTAGCATGCTGGATGGGTTTCAGAGGAGCTTCCAGACTGAAACAGACTAGGAAGAAAAGCTTGGTGATGAAATTCTAAAACTCAGCTAGTGAAAACCACATGGGTCACTAGTCAGATCAGCAACCAGTGATGAGGATGGTCCAGGACAGGACAGAATTCTGTTGGGGATGGGGTCACCATGACAACAGTGATCTCCCAATGATGATGTTGTTGTTGTTGTGTGCCGTGGAGTCGGTTCCGACTCATAGTGACCCTGCACAGGGTTTCCAAGGCTGTTAGTCTTTACGGGAGCAGAAGGCCTCATCTTTCTCCCGCAGAGCAGCTGGTAGTTTCGAACTGCTGACCTTGCGGTTCGCAGCCTGATTCATAACCACTACGCTACCAGAGCTCCTTCCCAATGATGTTAGGAGAACTAAAAACGTTAGTGTTCCGCAGAGTAGGAAGGAGAGTCAGGAATAGGAGCTGGAGCTAGCACGTGTGGCTGGTTAATTGTCTCCATAAACAGCTGCCTCCTTTGCTTTGAGACCAGAAGAACTAAATGGTGCCCAGCTACCATGACTGAATGTTTTGATCAAAGAGTCCATAGAAGAATCCTGATCAAAAGGAGGAAAATACAGAACAGAATTTCAAATTTTCATGGACTCCAGACTTCCTGGAGCCATGAAGGCTCTGAAACGAGAACCCTGAGATCACCTTTAAACCTTAAACCAAAAATATCCCCGAAGTCTTCTTAAAACCAAAGAATAGTTTCACTTAACTAGCAAAAAACGTCTGCCTTGAGCATTGTGTTCTTTTAAGATCTATCTATGTGGGATCATAGGAGCTCTGGTAGCGTAGTGGTTACAAATTGGGTTGCCAACCTCACAGCCAGCAGTTCAAAACTACCAGCTGTTCCGTGGGAGAAAGATGAGGCATTCTGCTCCTGTAAAGATTTACAGCCTTGGAAACCCTGTACAGGGTCGCTATGAGTCAGAACCGACTCCACAGCACATAACAACAATAAATGTGGGATCATAGTGGAGGAACAACTCCGAGTAAAAATGGTTACAGAACTCAAAAAAAGTTATCAATGGCATTAAATGGTCATTTTTTTGTTTAAATGTCAGCGATCCTGAAAAACCCAGGGCCTGCACACAGTACCTTTGTGTGTCAGGGTGGAACTGTGTACCACAGGGTTTTCAATGACTGATTTTTTCTAACATCGATCACCAGGCCTTTCTTCTGAGGGTCTTCTGGGTACATTAACTGTTTGGCACACAGTTGGTGGTGTTGTGTGCCATTGATTCAATTACATCAGAGTAAAACTGCCCCCATACAGTTTCCCAGGCTGGAACTTTTATGGGAACACAGGTCTTTTTCCACACAGACACCGGTGGGTCCAAACCACTAACCTTTTCGTTAGCAACTGAGTCTTAACCTTTGCACTACCAGGGCTCCTCTGACACACAGTTCAAACCCCAAACCAAACCCACTGCTAACAAGTCGATTCCGACTCACAGAGATCCCACAGGACAAAATGCAATTGTCCCATAGAATTTCTGAGGCCTTAATTTTTTTCCAGAGGAATAACTGGTACGTTTGAACCACTCATCTTTCTATTAGCAGCCCAATACCGACATCGAATCTGTTCCGACTCATAGTGACCCTGTATAGGGTTTGCAAGGAGTGGCTGGTGGATTTGAACCACCAATCTTGCAGTTAGCAGTCCAGTGCTTATCCTACAGCACCACACCAGGAACCTAGGCATGCTTATAAACATGAAGTCTAAATGAGGTGCATGATTCCTGACCTGGAAGAGGGGAAGTCAGGAACCCTCTTCCCTCCCCACCCAGTTCACCCAGAAGGACAGCAGGGAGGTGGCTCTGTCCCAAAGCCCCAGCCTCGGCCTGCCGCCCCTGGCGAGCGATTGACTTTTCTAGAATGTTGCCCCTCCCCCCCATTTCCATCCGGAGCCAGCAGCGCCGCATAAATTCTGCTTTATGGCTGTTATTGACGGAGAGCAGGGGGGAAGCCGCCCGAGCCAGGCCCAATTCATTTTCTCGGTCTAGCATCTGTGCGCAGGCGAATTGCTGAGCTCCTGGAGGGCGGAGCAGAGCGAGCTGGGGCCGGGCCAGGCTGAGGACAAGGTCACGGGCAGGCAGGGGCAATCCAGACCCTCCTCCTAGGAGCACTGTCCAGAGAGTCCCAGATCCTGAGCCCCGGGCGCTTGTCTGAAGGGTAGACTAGGCGATGGAACAGTGGAGTCAGTTTAAACTCCCTAGCGACCCCATGTGGGTTTCCTAGATTGAAGTCTTTACTGAGGAAGCGCAGCGGCTCTATAGGATAAGCTCTTGGACTCCCAACCAGAAGGTAGGGATTTTGGTCCCATGAGCAGCTCCATGGAGAAAGATGAGGCTTTCTACTCCCCCAAAGATAAACAGCCTCAGAAGCCCCAAACAGGGTCGTTATGAGTCGTAACTGACTCGATGCACTTAACAACGACAATCTTTAATGGAATCACATTTCCCAGGTCTTGCTCCAGTGGAGTTGCTGGGTGGATTCGAACCACCAGTCTTTCAGTTAGCAGTCTAGCACCTAACTATTGCAACACCAGGGCTCCTTTGAATATCAGGCAGGATTTGCAGTTTTGAATTAGGATAAAAATGAGACTCTCACTTAAGAGACATTTGAGCAAAAACTCGCAGCCTTGAAGGAACAATTTGTAAGCAGAGGGCACAGCCTGTGCAAAGGCCCAGAGGCAGGACCGGGCCAGGAATGTTGGAAGAATATGGAGGAGGCCGGTTTGGCACTGGGCGAGAGGTGAGGGGGTGGGGCAGGGAGGCCAGGCTGGCAGAACCCTGCGGTGGGAGGTGGGGGTGGGGAAGGGTCGTGGGCAGAGGAAGAAGGTGCTCACGGGCGCCCTCTGGCTGCCGCAGGAAGGACGTGGGCTTTGACGCGAGAGAGGAGGGAGCCAATGAAGGGACCCTGACTCACGTGCTCACGGGCATCCTCTGGTTTCTACAAGGGGAACAACGGAATGATCCGCAGTGAAACCATAACGCAATCTTTAAATTAGTATGTGGATTAAGCACTGGACTGCTAATCACAGGTTAGCACTTTGAATGCACCAGCCGCTCCAAGGGAGGAAGATGAGGCTTTCTGTTCCCATAAAGATTTACAGACTCGGAAACCCTGTCGTTGTTAAGTGCCGTCGAGTTGGTTCCGACCCATAGCGACCCTGTACAGGGTTTCCGAAGCTGTAAATCTTTACGGGAGCAGAACGCCTCATCTTTCTCCCGCGGAGCCACTGGTAGTTTCAAACTGTTGGCCTTAAGGTTCACAGCCCGATTCAGAGCTCCTTATACTAACCCTGTTACTCAAAGCTCTAACTCAAGGCCTCTTGACCCTTTTAAAGGGGAGAATTAACGCATGCTGAGAAACGTTACAGACTCACTTTGTTCTTAATGTACTCTCAGTGTTCTATAACTGCCCTATACCATGTGGGAAAGAGCATGGTTAAACTCTCAGTTGCTAAAAAAAAGTTTGGTGGTTCGAACCCACTCAGCGGTTCCATGGAAGAAAAGCCTGGTGATCTGCTACCATAAAAGTTCACAGCATGGGAAGCCTTCTGGTGCAATTCTGTTCTGTCCTCTATGAATCAAACAGGTACAAAGCTCGACTGCACCAAACAGGTACAAAGGGAGCTGCTAGCCACACATGGCTATGGAGGAATTGAAACTGTTGAGTGTAACTGTGAAATTGAGTTTCAAATTGTATTTCTTTTTCATTCATTTAAATTTAAATAGCCACTCCTGGATAGTGGTTACTGAGTTGGAGGGTGAAGTTCCAAAGGTAGGAAGATAATTGAAGAGATGTATTTGCTTTCTTCACACGGCGCGTTAGTTAAGCGTTGGGCTGCAGGCTGGTCCTACACCAACCTCACACTCCTTGCTGCACTTGAGTACACGGATGCTGGCACTGTGCCAAGCCATCTGCTTGGGGGTTTTCCTCTTTTTTTGCTGATCTTCCACTTTACCAAGCATGATGTCCTTCTCCAGGAACAGGTCCCTCCTGATAATATGTCCTAAGTATGAGAGACGAAGTCTGGCCATCCTGGCTTCTAAGGAGCATTCTGGTTGTAATTTCAACACAGATTTGTTTGTTCTTTTATCACTTTGTGGTACCTTTAATATTCTCTTCCAAAACCATATGAATGCATTTATTCTTCCGTGGTTTCCTTTATTCATTATCTAATTTTTACATGCATATGAGGTCACTGAAAATAGCCCTGGCTTGGGTCAGGACCACATTAGTCCTCAAACTGACATCTTTGCAATTGAACACTTTAAAGAGGTCTTGTGCAGCCGATTTGACTAATGTAATACGTCATTGGATTTCTTGACTGCTGTTTCCATGAGTGTTGAAGATGGATCTCAGCAAAATGAAGTCTTTGACAACTTTAATTGTTTCTCCATTTATCATGGTATTATTTATTGGTCCAGTGGTATGGATTTTTGTTTTCTTTACATTGATGTGCAACCTATACCGAAGGCTGAGGTCTTTGACTTTCATCAGTAAGCATCTTCCCTTTCAGCAAACAAGGTTGTATCATCTGCATACCGCAGGTTGTTAATGAGTCTTCCTCCAATCTTGATGCCACATTCTTCTTCATACAATCCAGCTTATCAAACTATTTGCTCAGCATACAGTTTGAATTAGTATTGTGAAAGAATACAACCCCAGCATACTTTTCCAAATTTTGAACCATTCAGTGTTCCCTTGTTCTGTCTGAATGAATGTCTCTTAGTCTAGGTACCAGTTCCTCAAGTGCACAATTAAGTGTTCCGGAATACTCATTCTCTGCAATGTTGTTCACAGCTTGTCATGATCCACACAGTCGAAAGCCTTAGCATAATCAATAAAGGCTAAGTAAACATCTTTCTGATATTCTCCACTTTCAGCCAAGATCTATTTGACAAGAGCAATGATAACCACATTCCACATCCTCATTTGGATCTGGCTTGAACCTCTGACAGTTCTCTGTCCATGTACTGCTACAGCGTTTTTTGAATTATCTTTAGCAAAACTTTACTTGCCTGTGATATTAATGATATTGTCAGATGGTTTTCACATCCCATTGGGCCACCTCTCTTTGGAATAGGCAGAAATACAGATCTCTTCCAATCAGTAGTCCAGGTCTTCCAAATTTCTTGGCATAGATGAGTGAGTGCCTCCAGTACATCAGTTTGTTCAAAGATTTCAATTTGTATTCCATCAATTCCTGGTGCCTTGTTCTTTGCCAACACCTTCAGTGCACCTTGGATTTCTTCCTTCGGTATCATAGGCTCTTGATCATATGTTACCTCTTGAAGTGGCTGAACATCAACCATTTCATTTTGGTACAGTGACTTTGTGTGTTCCTTCCATCTTCTTTTGATGCTTTCTCTATCATTCAATATTTTTTCCATAGACTCTTTCAATATAGCAAGTTGAGGCTTGAATTTTTTTTCAGTTCCCTCAGCTTGAGAAATGCTGAGTGTGTTCTTCCCTTTTGGTTTTGTATTCCGATCTCCAGTAATTATCAATACATCTTGATTTTGTGTTTGATCAATTTCAGACTGAAGAATTTGGTAGAATTCTTCAATTTCACCATCACTGGCTTTAGTGGCTGGTGCATAAATTTGAATAATAGTTGTTTTAACTGGTCTTCCTTGTAGGCATATGGATATTATCACAGAATGTTACACTTCAAGATAGTTCTTGAAGTGTCCTTTTTGATGATGAATACGAAGCTATTCCTCTTCAATTTGTCATTACCAGCATAGTAAACCATGTGACTGTCAGATTCAAAATGGCCAATACCAGTCTATTTCAGCTCATTAATGCCTACGATATCCATCTTTATGCATTCCTTTTCATTTTGGACAACTTTCAATGTTCCTAGATTCATACTTTGTACCTTCCATGTTCTGATTATTAATAGATGTTTATAGCTGTTTTTCTTCATTTTGAGTTGTGCCCCATCAGCAAATGAAGGTCCCGAGGACTTTACTCCATTCATGTCATCACAACCAACTCTAGTTTGAGGAGGCAGCTCTTCTCCAGTCGTATTTTGAGTGTCTTCCAACCTGAGGGGCTCATCTTTCAGAACTCTATCTGACAATATTCTGGTGCTCTTCATCATGTTTCAATATTCAGTATTCTGGTGCTAGCTGACAGTGTTCCACTGCTATTCATAGGTTTTCCATGACTAAATATTTGGAAGTACCCCATCTCTCCTTCTTCCTAGTCTGGCTTATTCTGAAAGGTCAGCTGAAACCTGTCCACATGGGAGACCCAACTGGTATTTAAAATACTGATTGAATAGTTTCCAGCATCACAGCAACACGTAAGCCACCAAAGTACAAGAAACTGACAGATGAGTGGTGGCCATTTTTGAGTGTCCAGCACTCTAGTCTACTTCCAATGTGGGAGGCTGAGATGAAAGGAGATTTCATGCCCAGAAGAACATTTCCTGCCCAGAAGTGGATGACCTGGGTTTACACAGGTCTGGGTACAGTGGTCTTCATATCCTAAGCACCTACCTTCTATCTGTTGTTACCAGTCCTGCCTGCTGACCCAGGGAAGCCACACTCCACCACATGGCCTTGACCCTTGTTAAAATGCCCATTCCTTCACATACCATCTAGAGTGTCCTTTTCACATCCCAGCAGCAGAGGTGGCTGGCCTGCAATGGCAAAAATTCTTAACTGTCTGGCCCCTTTACAGATAAAATTTGCCACCTCTGCAGTTCATGTATTAACACCTTGTAGTCCTGGTGTGGCGCTGTGGGTTAATGCGTCAGACTGCAAAGCCGTTTGAACTGCAAGGTTGGCGGTTCAAGTTCACCAGCTGCTCCTCAGAAACCCTTTACAGGGTCGCTATGGGTCAGAACCGACTCGACGGCACTTAACAACAACAACAGCTTTATGGGAGTCCTGGCGTGGCGCTGTGGGTTAATGCGCTGGACTGCAAGGTTGGTTTGAATTGTAAAGTTGATGGTTCAAGCTCAACAGCCGCTCCTCGGAAACCCTATGCAGGGTCGCTATGAGTTGGAAATCACTCAAGACACTTAACAACAACAACAACAACAGCATTATGAGATGCTCTTGATGCCCTCTTCCTTTGATCAGCTGCCATTGATTTTAACTCCTGGCAGTGGGTTTTCATGGCTGTGACCTTTCAGAAATATCACCAGGCCTTTCTTCCAAGGTGCCTCTGAGTGGATCCCAACCTCTGACCTTTCCGTTAGTAACAACGCATGTAGCTGTTGGTGCCACCTGGTCAAAGTCAAAGACACAATGAAGAAACAGCTGAGTAGAGAATTGGACCCAAATCTGTTGTTGTGTGTGGATTCCCCATACAGTGCTCTCTTACCTGCACCATCATCTGGGTCATTGGGACTAGGGGGTCTGCAGTAGACTGTGGTTCACTGGAGAGCTGGACAAGGCACTGAGGAGGTTGGGAGGAGCGGTCAGCGTGTGCCCAGGGCAACTCCAGAATCTGGCCTGCCCCCTTTCCCTACTCTCCCACCTGGGTATCTTCTGGGAAGGTAGCCAATTAAATGTGAGTCAATTAAACAAACTCCAGGTTGGCTGCTGCCCTGTTATTCTGACCTCGGTCAAAAGGCTCATATTCCAGGGCCTCTGACTTGGGTTTGAGCAAATGCGCTTGTGGTCAGAACTGAGAAGGGACTGCAGGGTCAGGCATTCAGGCAAAGAACTCAGCCCAGACCCCTGGGAGCTTGTGATACTTTGATTGTCTAATCCGTTTCCCCTTGGGGGAAGTTGAGGTTGGGGGGAGGTACTGCGTGAGCAGGCGCTGGGAGGGGGTATGAGGGGCAAAAAGCCTTCTGTTCTTGGTGGATGAGCTGCTTGGTGTGACCCGGAGCAGTGGGAAAAGAAGGTATAATTTGTTCATTTTATATGCCAATCAAGGGGTGGCGATTGCTGTTGCTTTGTGGAGAGCTATCTCAGAGA